CCCACGATTCAGGAAACCCGCGGAGTAATGGCGGCCGTCAGCCGACAGGGCTGTGGGGCCTGGCGGGGCGGTCTGTTTAACTGGGGCCCAGCTTGTGCACAAGCCCCGAGCTGGGTAGGGCGTGGCTGCATCGATGCGGTGACACCAGCCCCAAGGCGGTTCCAACGCAGGAAGTACCGGCAGGGGGCGCTATGGCTCCGCGCCCGCCACCGGCCGCTCAGGCCGGAGCCCGCCTCAGCAACCCCGCCTCTTCCGTAGGCCGGGCGAGTCACTCGGGCGCCCGGCCTTGGGGATGGCCGAGACGAGCGGCCTCCGGACGGCCTAGAGGGGCGTTGGAAGTACTCTCGCTTCCGGATCGGCTGTTAGTTACCAGCTCCTGGGTGTTCGAAGTGGAAGAGCGTGGGTGTCAGCGAGTTCTCCATGCCAGGTCCGCTAGATACCGGCTTCCTCGCTGCCCTGACTGCTCGTCAGCTCCCTTTCTCCTGAATTCGGCCCCAATGGCGGCCCGCCCCTCCCTGACCCGGAGCCCAGGGTTTTGGGTGTCGCAGAAGCCACCCGAGGTGGCTGCGCGGTTTCCCTGGACCCAGCTCCTTCCCAGAGTCATGATCCTCTTTTCTCTCCCAAAGAGATTGGCCTCACTGCCTCCCATGCCCGGTACTGACGTTTCTAATGTTTGGGGCCGCCTGCTTCCTAGGATGGAATGTTCAGGTCCTGGTCGGGTCTCTGGTCAGCATCACCTCTGGGACACTGAGTATCTTACCACTGTCCTTCTTTCTCTCCAGAGACACCTTTTTTGGGAGTCATTGGCATGGCCCCTGTAAGCATTCTATGAAACTTTCTGTTTGTACAGAACCAACACTGTAGAGACAGGGTTCTTGGGTCCTTCAATCCGGCTCTTGTGAATGGCGTTAATTCAGGAAAGCTCTTGGGACTGAGCAGGGCGGTGGAGGATTGTCCTGAGGGACCAGGCAGAGCAATTCATGATGTGGTCCGGAGTGATCAGCATGAGAATAGCAAGAGGGGGTCTGACAGACTCCTTCCAGTGCTGGGAATGAGGACACTGGGAGGGCTGTGGGTGATGCTGGACAGGGTCCATCACACTCATGACTCTTCTTTTCTTAGCTTCTAAGGTTCTTGACTTTCCAATACCAGAAGACAGTGCATGAAGCCAGGGGACATCAGCCATGCTCCAAACAAGTTGGCCTCAGGTGAGCTGAGCTTCCTTCCAGTCTTTTTTACTCACATTAGTTACCAGGTTTGTTGTTGTTGTTAGGTGCCCTGGAGATGCTTCTGATTTATAGTGACCCTGTGTACCACAGAACAAAACACTGCTTGGTCCTGCATCATCCTCACAACTGTTGCTATGTTTAAGCCCATTGTTGAAGCCACTGCGTCAGTCCATCTCAATGAGGGTCTTCCTTTTTTTCACTGACCCTCTACTTTACCAAGCATGATGTCCTTCTCCAGGGACTGGTCCCTCCTGATAACATGTAAAAACTACATGAGACAAAATCTTGCCGTCCTCACTTCTGAGGAGCATTCTGGCTGTACTTCTTCCAAGACACGTTTGTTCTTCTGGAAGTCCATGGTATATTCAGTATTCTTTGCCAACAGCATAATTCAAAGGCATCCATTCTTTGGTCTTCCTTATTGTCCAGCTTTTGCATGCATATGAGGCAACTGAAAATAACCATGGCTTGGGTCAGCTGCACCTTAGTCCTCAAAGTGACATCTTTGTTTTTTAATACTTTAAGAGGTCTTTTGCAGCAAGTTTGCCTAGTGCAATGTGTCATTTGATTTCTTGACTGCTGCTTCCATGGGCATTGATTGTGGATCCAAGTAAAATGAAATTCTTGACAACTTCAATATCAGTTAAGAACACCTAATTTGACCAGGTGATTGTTCTGCTTTGAGGCTATCACTGGGACGTGTGGCAGATGTAAATATGTGGTAGGGGAAATGAGAGTTTTGTGTGTGGAGAGTGGTGAGCTTAGAAGTGTAGGTTTAAGTGCAAAAATTGGGGCCCAAGCCAAGAAATTCTCCCTGAATGTGGAAATGTAGATCATCATCTACAAATGTAAGTCAGCTGCTGAGACCAGAGAGCATCTTCACTGAAGAGATTGCCCTGCAAATTGTAGATACTTTCCAGAGAGGCCAACATTATTCTTTTAACATGCAACAAAATAATTTTAGCACTTTCTAAATTCTAGGTGCATAGTATTGAATAATACAGACTAGTTCCCTTTTCTTATGGAGGATACTTTTAGTGGCATAACCATCACTTGCAATTGAGTCAGTTCTGACTCGTGGTGATCCTATGTGTGTCACAGTAGTACTGTGGATTTTCTAGGGTTTTCAGTGGCTGTTTTTTTTGGAAGTAGATCGCCAGGCCTTTCCTTCAAGGCACCTCTTGGTGGACTTGAACCTCTTACCTTTAGGTTAGTACCCAGTTGTGTTAACTGTTTGCACCACTCCTTTAGAGAGATAGACAGTCTCTAAACAAGTCAGTAATTATTGTCAGTATAAGTGTTAAAGTACAGTGCTTCTCAGTGTTTGGTCCACAGACTGGTAACATCAGAATCACCTGAGACCTGATTCAAAAGGCAAATTCTTGGGCTCCAACCCAGACCCAGTATCAGCTTATCTGGGGTGAGTGGGGTCAGGAATCTGTTGTAACAAGCTTTTCAGATGAATTTTGTGCACCTTAAGCTTGAGAAACCCTGAAGAGGTGACCCTTTAAAGGTAAGGTCTGGGAAGCCCCTTATCAAGATAGTAATGTGTGAATTGAGAGCTCAAGGATGATATGGAATCAGTTGTGGGAATAACTGAAGAGAGAGCTAAAGAAGAGCTTTCCAGAGAGAAGGACAGCAAATGCAGAGACCCCGAGGCAGGGGGAGAAAGCTGGTGTACTCTAGAAACAAGAAGGAGTTGGAGTGGTTCAAGATGAGGTTGGAGAAGCAGGTAAGGGTCTTGTAGGTCATGGTGAAGACTTTGGCTTCTATTCTGGGTTCAGAGGGGAGGCACTGAAGAATTTTAAGCCATGAGGAGGAGGGGCATGGTTGGATTTATACTGTATATTAAAAAGGTTTCTCCAGCTCCTTAGTGGCAGTTGGTTGTGGAAGAGTGTGAGACAGGAGGATATTGCAGTTCAGATAAGAGATTAAATATTGTCTCTTTAAGGTATGGATTAATTTCCCCCTCTTTTCTTTGTTTAAATTACAATTTTTTCAAAACATCCTCAGCTAATCTTTCACACCTACTTTTTCAGATGACTTTTAAATGATCCTCTCATTACTGCACAAATCTCATGGATCTTTTGGGGTGGATTTTATTGAATTCATAGGTAAATATGGAGATAATTGACTTTTTTTCAAACTTGGCTCTTCCCATTCAGAAACACTTTAGGTTCCAATTTATTCAGTTCTTCTTTTATGTACTTTAATAAACGTTTATTTGGTTTTTTTTTTTTTTTCCATCTTGGTCTTGCATATTCTTAGCTATTTTTATATGAATGGCATCTTATTTTCTCCCATTATATTTTCCAATAGTTTATTGCTAGTATTTGCAAAAGTTAGTGATTTTGGTTTTCTTATGCTCTATCTAGCTAACTTAATGAATTATTTTGTCAGTTCTAATAATTCTCAGTTTATTTTCTTGGCTATTTCTAGGTAGTTATTTCCTCTGCAAGCAAAGATATTTATCTTCATTCCTTTCCTGTATGTATGCTCCTTTCTTGTCTTTTTCAAAAAGTAGAACCTCAGCTCATGGTGAGTATGCTGTAGCATTTCACCATGAAGGTGGTGTTTGCTGTTGGTTTCTGACCCTCTTCATAAGTTTAAAGAATTTCATTTATTGTCAAACCATTATTGAAGTGAAGTCTTTCAGCAAATGTACATTAACCAATAATGAACAAAACAAAATCCTCGTCTAATGAACTTACGTTCTTGTGGGGGGATATAGACAGTCAATAATATAATATGTCAGATATTGAAAAAGACTGTGGAGAAAGATAAAACAAGGGGAGGGACATGGGGCCATTCACAAGGAGGAAAAGAATATACGCATAACCCAACTGCTCTAATAGAGCAAGTTTTTGCTTTAATAGTAGGTATCTTTTAGAACTCATGAAACATGAGGATATCTGACTGCAGACTGGGGTCCAGCTTGGGGAGGAAGAGGCTGAGGGTGCTGGGCTGGGAGGAGAATGTTCTAAGAGAAACTCTGGAGGTGTTAGGGAGCGTGGTTTGACATGCAGTAAGTAGAGGTGAATTTTGGCTTTACCTGTGAGCCTGGTTGCCGTCCTCAGCAGCCCACAATACCTTGTTGTTGAAGTAGTGATTACTCACAGGGCAGCGTGGCAGGCAGGGAGGTTCAGTCTGGTGTTTGGATTTTTGGCTCAGAGTGTTTTGGGGGCACTTTGGACTACTTCAGTGAGCCCTGGTGGTGCAGTGGTTAAAGTGCTCAGCTGATAAATGAAGGGTTTGCGATTCGAACCCGCCAGCCACTCTGCAGGAGAAAGATGTGGCAGTCTGCTTCCATAAAGATTTACAGCCTTGGAAACCCTATGGGGCAGTTCTACTCGGTCCTATAGGGTCACTGTGAGTCGGAATCGACGGCAGTGGGTTAGGCTACTTCACTGCCCAGTTTAAACGCTGGCTCTCCTTTTGAGGAGGGTGCAAATTTCTTTTTCTTTCAGTATCTCCTTTAGAACTGAGTTTCCTATTTGCTTTTGTTTTAAAAGAACCCCCTCATAAGGACCTGAGTGTAGAGCCAGTAGAGCTGCTGTGAGTTGCCAGAATTTATCCTTGGTGTATGGATCTTCCCTGCGTCCTCCGAGAACTGCTTGTCTCCCTTGTGCTGACTCCAGTGCACAGGCTGCCTTAGGGGCAACCTGGGAGTCAGAATGTGGTATACAAGATAGGGTGCTTAGCTGTAGCTCCTGCTGGTAGGCATTTTCATTTTCAGGGAGGGAAAAGAACAAGGCTGACTGCATAGGGTAGTGAGAACCTACTGAGAGGTGGAATCATCTGTGAGAACCGCGTCTCTGGTCTGTGCTGTCCCTGGAGCATGTGGGGATGCTGACAACAGAAGCAGAGAAGGCAGCCAGTAGACACCTTCTTGGACTGCTCTTGGGCCTCATGGAAGGCTCAGAGGCTCCCAGGGTGGTGTGTGTACCTTTGAAATAGCTGTCCCTGGGATCTAAGTTTGGGGAGGGGGCCAGTGTAGCCTGATGGGAGTGTGGTAACGATGGGTTGGCTGGTAATTTTTGGGAATTGGGGAGTTTGAGGAGTTGTTCTACAGAGAGAGGGCAGCACTAGGTTATGATGAGCTTCAGAGGTTAGCCATGTTTTTGGCGAAGTTCATGAGCCCAGTGTTGGAGGCAGCTAGGTGAGTGGAAAAAGCCCAGATTTGTTGTTTGACAGATCTGGGTTGAGATCCCAGCCCTGCCGCTTCCTGGCTCGATGATCTTAGGTGAAGTAATGAATTTTTCTGAACTTCAGTTCCATCATTTGAAAAATGGGAATAATAATTCCGACTTCACATATATGTCATAAAGATTAAATGAAATATAGGATTTAAAAATACCTAACAGCCTGATGCACAGGGGCTAGTCAACATGTATTAGTTCCTTTTACTCTTGGGAAGGTGGAGGTGGCTCCAGGGGTTGGCAGAGAGGGGCACGCCTGGGGCCAAGGGCAGCCTTGCCAGCTGGCTTGGAGCTCAGAAGATCGGGTCATGGATCTGTGCACAGGGGCAGGGTACTGGCAGCCTGTCCTTGCAGACAGATGGTTCAGAGAAGAGGCCAGAACAGGGAAGCTGCAGATTTCCTTCAAGAGAGAACCCACTTCCTAATAGGGCAGGAGGTAGGAAAAGGAAGAAATGTGCAAAATACTGGGAATATTTCTGAGGAGTGGATCCTATGCACATAGTGGAAGGTATGGGGGAAGACCACAGAGAAGCTGGGTGAAGGGGATGAATGAAGTTGTGTGGATGTGCTTTGGATCCGTGGAGACAAGGTGAGTGGCAGCCGTCAGCAGTGGTTGGTTTATAGAAAATAAGGTGACTGGATTATGGCATACCTGTGGGTAAGAGGTCCTAGACGGACAGGTTCGTGGAGCCAGGAACATAGGCATTGATGCATTTACCAGACAGAGAGCAGCAGGTGCAAGGCTGTATGCTTGGGATGACAGTATTGGGGTCTCAGAGGCGTGCACATTGAAAGTAGGAGCACTGGCTGAGGGCTGACTCCTCATAGGGGTGCTGGGAGGCTTTCCTCACCTGTATAAACCTTCCATGGGGCTCAGAACCATGGACCCCGGTAGATTCATCCCTTGCCTGAACTTCAGGCCCCTCCCTCAGGGCTGGAGCAGAATTGTATTGTTTCAGGAGTCGGTGACCTTCGAGGACGTGGCTGTGTACTTCACCCAGAGTCAATGGGCCAGCCTGGGCCCCCTGCAGAGGGCCCTGTACAGGGAGGTGATGCTGGAGAATTATGCAAACGTGGCTTCCCTAGGTAAGGCATCTCTCTCAATAGCCCTTTGTGATAGTTTGACTTCTTCTTTCAGTGTTCTGGGATTTTTCCTGGTGCTTAGGTTTGATGACTACTAAGAGTTCTGCAATCACCAGTCTTGGGATGCTGGGTGGGGAGAACCCAGGTTCCTTTGGTTTTGAAACCTGACTTCCCTACCCCCCAGGGAAGGGAGGTGTTCTGGACCCTGAGCGAAAGGACTCTTCTGGTTCCACAGGTGAGCCCTTTGTTCTTCCACCCTTCTAGTTTTCTGGAGAGGTTGGCCTTTGCCTCTGTGGAGGAATTTCTTGGGATATCAGTACATACATCCTTCCCAAGGGAGTTTCCTTTATTCTAAGTCTGGGCCAGATTGCAGAGTTCTTCCCAAGGAGAATCACTGTCTCCCTGGCTTCACCTTGGAGTAGTTTAGACATATCCCTTAGAACACTTTGGTAGCTGACTTGGTCTCTTGGGCCTTCCATTCTCTCTCTAACTACTCCGACGGAGGGCAGGCTGAGGGAGGTCTCAAACAAATCTGATGTCGTCCCTCAACTTGTCTTTTTTTTTTCCTTCCTGAAGTAGCATTTCCATTCCCCAAACCTGTTCTGATCTCCCAGCTGGAGAGAGAGGAAGCACCATTGGGCCCAGATCCCTGGGAAACAGAAGTTTTGAGAGATATCTGTCCAGGTGAGTAAGAGAACCTACCAGTTCTGTTTCCTGTTTTGCCTTCCTGGCTTAACATGTAGGAAGCGTTTCTTCCGCTGTAGGGAACAAAGCTCTGGTCTTCTATAAGGCAGTGCCCCGTGCTGTCTTTGGCTCTCACTGAGTGCCAGCCCCCGGCTGGGAGAGCAGTCCCTAGGAGTGCACGGCCCATGCTGTCTGCACATCCAAGGGCCTCCTCACAGTTAGAGGAGCAGCTCCCAACCCCCTTTTCTTTTCTTACTTACCAGTGGAAATATTTAATTTTATACCAATTTTTGTTGCTGATAAGTGGGGGTTCAGCCATACTTCAAGCCAGATATGCTTCTGTGGGCCACGTGGATTTGTGTCCCAGGAGTTTTATTTTTAGGTCTTCAGCAAAGACAAGAATGGCTTTAACTTGGCCTTTTTAATATCGAAATCACCTAAAAGTTCCTTGTGTCATACCCTTTGGGTCTACACTGTATTTGTCACATATGGGACTGTAGCGGAAAAGGCAAGGATTATTCCCCCACTAGCACCCTCAACACACACACACACACACACACACACACACACACACACACACAGCCTAAAATTTCCCTGGTAACTTGGGTTTTCTTTTCTTTTGGAAGAAAGTTGCCAATCTCCTGCGTTCTGTGGTTTTATAAATAGTGGTTCCTTTAGCAGTAATGCTATAGTAGCCTACAGTTCTTCACTCCAGCTTCTGTACCAGCTGACTTTGAAAGGAATCATCTTTTATCCCAGAATATTATGTAGGATATTTAAAAACAGAATTATTAAGACATCATTTAGAAATTTGGGTGGTTTCCCGGGTTCCAGGTGGGACACTAGGATCTTTTTTTTCTAGTTTGTGTTTCCCAGCCTGCTGGCCCTCTCATACTGCTAGGGCTGCTCTTCCATGCTCCTCTCGTCTCACAGATCTCTTTTTCTTTTCCTATTTTGGGTCTTTCTCCCTCCTTCTTTTTTTTTTTTTTTAATCTTTTCCATTTCTTGCTGATCCTTTTTATCCCATTCTTTTTTCTCCTCATATGTTTTTTCTTCCCATTCTTGAGGTTGTCATTCTTCTCATTTCACCTGCCTTGGTTCACTTCCCAGCCTTCCTTGTAGGTGGCACTTCTTGGCCATTTCCTGGTCTGGTTCCAGTGTCTTCACTTTCCTATTGTGTGCCTTTATTTTGTCTCTGTCATCCCCCTTTATGGATATTTGTAGCCATTTCATTGATGTATTTTTAAAAATCACACCCTACAAGCAAAAATTAAGACCAGTGGATCCTGTTTTTCTTCCAGTTCAGTAACTAAGAACACTTGTGGTTTCTTTGGCCAGGTGGTGAGTCCTGGATCAAGAATGAAGAGCCGGCTGTAAAGCAGGAAATCTCTGAAGAAACAGAATTACACAGAATGCCACTAGAAGGACTCCTCAGAAGTGTTTCTCAACACTGTGATTTTAAAAGCAAGGGAACAAAGCAGACTTTAAGTCCAAATCCGAATCTGATACTTCGAGGTGGAATGAAGTTTTACCAATGTAAAGTATGTGGGAAAATCTTCAGATATAACTCAAAACTTATTCGACATCAGATGAGTCATACTGGGGAAAAGCCCTTCAAATGTAAGGAATGTGGCAAAGCTTTCAAGTCCAGCTATGACTGTATTGTGCATGAGAAAAATCACATTGGAGAAGGTCCCTACGAATGTAAGGAATGTGGCAAAGGTTTAAGTTCCAACACAGCCTTGACTCAACACCAAAGGATCCACACTGGAGAGAAACCCTATGAATGTAAGGAGTGTGGGAAGGCTTTCCGTAGGAGTGCGGCATATCTTCAGCATCAGAGATTACACACTGGGGAGAAACTCTATAAATGTAAGGAATGTTGGAAAGCTTTTGGGTGTCGGTCACTTTTTATTGTCCATCAGAGAATTCATACCGGAGAGAAGCCCTACCAATGTAAGGAGTGTGGCAAGGCATTCACTCAGAAAATAGCCTCCATTCAGCATCAGAGAGTTCACACTGGGGAGAAGCCTTATGAATGTAAGGTGTGTGGGAAAGCCTTCAAATGGTACGGAAGCTTTGTGCAGCATCAGAAATTGCACTCTGTGGAGAAGAAGCCCGTCAAGAAGCTTGGGCCAACCTTGGGCAATCCCCAGTGTCCCTCTTCAGCCTTATCTCCTATTCCTCTGCAGGGTTCATGCTCTGCTCCAGCTGTGGCCGTGCCTTCACTGACCTTTCCACATGCTGTGCTCATTCCTACCTCAGGGCCTTTGTTCATGCTGCTGCCCACATCTGGAATACCTTCGTCACCTGTCCAAATAGTACGTGTCTTCCAGGGTCTTACTCCTGCTGTGAAACCTTCCCCAATTATTCTGACCCCTACTTCTCACCCCTCATGAACTTTACCTTGGTACTCCTGTGGCTCTATGCCCAGCAGGTCTCCGACCCAGTTTGCGTTTCATTTGTATTTTTTTTCTCCATATGTGTATTACAACTGTTTCAGCATAAACACCATTGTAATCTGTATACGTTTAAAAACTGTTTATATAATATACTGTCTCTGCTGGGTAGAAAATGGAAATACTTGACCATTGCATCAGTCCCTTTCAGGTTTGAACAACAGTGGCTGTGTCTGCATTGTGGGAATACTAGTGTTAGAAGTGCTGGGAGGACATGTTGGGTGTTCAAAAAGTTTGGGAAAGAGGACATCCCTGTATTAGGCTACTGTGATTAGAAAGAAGCAGCCTGGAAGAAACAGGAGGAGGCATGTGGGACCTGTGGGAGTAGAGAGTTGAAAAAGCTTCCAACAATGGACTTTAGAAATTAGTGTAGGTTGTTTAGTGTGTGTTTTAGTCATCTCATGCTGCTATAACAGAATACCACAAGTGGATGGCTTTAACAAAGAAAAATATGTTTTCCCACAGTCTGGTGGGCTAGAAGTCCAAATTCAGGGCATCAGTTCCAGGGAAAGGCTTTGTCTCTCTGTCGACTCTGGAGGAAGCTCTTCGTTATCATCAGCCTTCCCCTGGACTAGGAGCTCCTCTGCACAGGAACCTCGGGTCCAAAGGATGCGTTCTGCTCCCGGCACTGCTTTCTTGGTGGTATGAGGTCTCCGGTTCTCTGCTTGCTTCCCTTTCCTTTTCTCTCTTGTAAGATAAAAGGTGGTGAAGGCCACACCCCAGGGAAACTCCCTTTACCTTGGATCAGGGGTGTGACCTTAGTAAAGGTGTTATAATCCCACCATAATCCTCTTTAACATAAAATTACAATCACAAAATGGAGGACAAGCACAAAATACTGGGAATCATGGCCCAGCCAAATTGATAGACACATTTTTGGGGGGACATAGTTCAATCCATGACAGTGGGCTGTTGGCTAGGTAGTATAGCACGGTTGAAGTTGTATTGCCCTTGGCATGGATCATTGAGGAGCCTGTACATCTATGCAATAATCATGTTAAATAACTGGTAAAAAAAAAATAATAATAATACATATGCATTGACGGCAATGACAGCAGTCATTTACATGATTTATAACAGTCATGTCCAATCACGTCTTTAAACATGAAGGAGTTACTGTATTTTTATGCAAATAACGTGCGCCTTCTACATTTGTTTACCAACCACGCCACCCCCCCCCAGCACTCTCACAAGTGTACTGCCATGCCAGTCTTCTTCCACGTGTTGCTGTAAAAAAAGTAGCATAGCGTCCTTAGGAAAATACCTTGTAGGGGGAGGGCGTGTTGGCAGACAAATGTAGAAAGTACGTGTTATTTGCATAAAAATATGATATTTTTCTTTAGTTTTGTTCTTGTACCACGATGGCTCTTTAACTTTTGTTTCCTAAGTAAATATATACAAAGGCATTCATCTTTGTTGCATCTGATGTGTAAATTTTTCTTGGTGGGCAGTGTGGTTTTCTCTTTGCAAGCATTGGCTTCTATCTAGATAGCGTGACTTGTAGAATTGAATTTGGCAAATTACTAAAGAAACAGGAGGAACAGTGTCAAGTCAATGTGAGAGAAGTCTGAATAAGCCTCCACAAATTGTTTTTTAGAAATAAAGGGTGATGTGTAGTGAGTGGGTCAGTGTCGAGGCTTATTTGGTGGGTGAGTACAGTGGAATTTTGGGTTGCCCTTGGTATCGACCTCGATGAGGATCCTTTACAACTATGCAAAAACCATGTGAAGTAAGTACTGCAAAAAGAACTTGAGTAATGCATTGTTAGCATTAATGTAAACTTAAGTCCTTAAACATTGATGGAAGAGACTGTACATTTTTTCCTTTGTGTTGCTTTTGCCATCTAGATGTTTCTCCATGGCAACAAACAGAAAAAACCTTTAAATTAGTGGTTCTTAAAGGAGCCCTGGAAACCCTGGTGGTGTAGTGGTTAAGTGCCACAGCTACCGACCGAAAGGTTGGCAGTTTGAATCCACCAGGCACTCCTTGAAACTCTATGGGGCAGTTCTCTGTCCCGTAGGGTCGCTATGAGTCGGAATTGACTCAATGGCAATGGGTTTGGTTTGGTTTTAAAGGAGCCCTGGTGGCACAGTGGTTAAGCTCTTGGCTGTTAACTGAAAGGTTGATGATGAGAACTCACCCAGTCACTCTGCAGGAGAAAGATGTGGCGATCTGCTTCTGTAAAGATTACGGCCAAGAAAACCCCAATGGGGCAGTTCTGCTGTGTCACGTGGTTTGAGTCAGAATCAACTTGATGACACCCAACAGCAGCATCAAACTTTACCATGTATCTGAATTACCTGGTGTGCTTGTAAAAGAGTGATTTTCTTGCCTAATTTCCAGAAATTCTTATCTTGCATATCTATAATGATGCCCAGATCTTTAGTGTAAACCAAAAAATGCCTAGGCGCTGTTCAGAGGCATACATTGATAAAGGTTTGGGAGGGACTGCCTTATTTCCCAGTGGGTCTTCAGGAGACAGACCTCTAAAAGTAGTTTCAGTGGTGTCAGTTTAGAAGAGTGAAAAGCAAGTGAAATAAGGCCTGTGGGGAAAAGAAGAAAGGGGCAAAGGGATCTGATGTGGCCTACGAAGAGTTCTTGAGATCTCCACTGCAAGGAGGTTGGTGGGGGTTGACACTGGTTACTTTTTTCCTGTTTGTTTGCCTTGTTGGCTAAAGTAATGACGGAATATTTTTTGTCCTATAAAATTAATACACCTCAAAATGGCTCCTGGATTAAAGAGAACACAAAATGGATGCTACAGATGATTTAAAATGGAACAACAGTAAGAACAGGAAATATCAAAGTCTATGGGATTGGCAAAGAGTGGAACTCAAAGCAGTATTTACAGTCTTGATGCATTCATTAGAAAACGAGTTTGAAAGCTTGAATTCAGGAAGCTGGAGGTCGTGGATGGGGCTGGGAAACAAAACTGAAAACTAAAAGCAAGCAAACAGACCAAAAACAAATAAGCAAACAAAAAACTAAAAATAAACTTGGCAGAAATAAATAAGGTACAAAACAGGGTTTTTTGTAAAGATGGTGGTCGAACAAATGTGTTAGCTTTTACATCCTCCTGAAACTCCACTGAAACAGTTAAAGAGGTTAAGAATAAAAAGGCATAAACTCAAAAGGGGTAAGAAAATTAGATAACATTTTGAAAGCTAGAAAGTGATAAAAGAGTTGTAACTTCTAGCATACCTGAGAAAGTTGAATCCTAAGCCCCACTGGGGAACTGAGAAACCATCCTATGTGGCAGAATTTTCCAAAAGGCCTAGGAATTGAGTCTTCAGGTACCTCTGGAAATGGGGGATACTGGTGGACTAAGAACTGGAGGACTGGCTAGAAGTCTTTAAGAAGCACATAGATTCTGCGGTCATCTCCCCTATTCCTCTGCTCCTTAGATAAGTAAAACAGGAATTCTGGAGGACAGAGGTACCACACTGACTGTTAAGTCCTTTCCAACCCTCTAGCCTTCTGTCTGGGAGACTCTAGCCAGAATGCTGCCACTTATGTACCTTCTAGACTAAAAATCAGAAGAACTTTCTCAGGGGAATCTGATCAACTCGAGAAAAGACCACAGTTACTGGCATCTCAGATTCCGCAATGAACTGACTCAGCTAGATCACTCTATAGAGAAGTCCTGCCTCTGCACCAGAGCTTCCAGTCAGCTTTTAAATGCTCCATTCTTAAAATATAAACAAATAGCCAAGGATATGAAAGAGGCCAAAGCAAGCAAAACAAAAAACAACCAAGGCCGTTTGAAGAGAACAGACTATGCAAGAAAACAATGTTCTAAGAGAAGATATTTGCGTCTATTAAACAGTAGAATGCCATACAAAAGGAAATTTCAGGGAACAAAAAAACTCCTGAAAAGTAAAAATTGATAGCAGCAATGAGACACTCAACTGAAAAACAAAGTCAAGGGAATCACCCAGAAAGTATAACAAAAAGAGGTGAAAGGAGCAGAAAAGAAATCCAGTATGGGTGGTCCAATTGTTAAATAGGCATTAAAGAGAGAATAGAGAAATTGGAGAGGAAGAAATAATCAAAGAAACAATCCCAGGTGATTTCCCAGAATTGAACAGGGCTCCATGCCTTCACTGGCAAGTGTTAGGAGGAAGCCCTAAGGGCTTAGACTAAGACTACCCAGCTCCTCAGGCCTCCAGGCTTGCTTCTACTGGCAGGAATGATTAGGGGAACTCCAGACCTCTCCCTCTCCCTAGCACTCTCCAGTCTCAGCCTTGCCACCATTATCAGTGCTGAGACTATCAGGACAATCTCAGCATGCTCTTCGTGTTTATCTCAGTCACCACAAGGAGTCCTGAACTCCCAGGATAACCTCATCCCCTGCAAATTTAATCGCCTATGGCTCTGCACATTTCCCTTTTCTGTCCTCATCGCTACCTCTTCTCAACTCCTGAAAACCTTTCATTCTGCGCTCTGAAACTGACAATTCATTGGTGGCAAAATTCCCTGTATCCTCTCTGAACATCACCTTCTCTAATCAAAGCCTGCATATTCCTTGAGGTTAGTGTTTCCCCATTGCTGTTTCAGATGGTGGTGGATTTTCCTTCCACACCTCTAATATCAACAATCCTGGATCTTCTTTGTTCCTGTTTGCCAGTTCCATTCTCCACCCCTCTTCTTTTCTAAAAACTTCCACCCTTGAATATTAAGCTATTACCTGACCTCTGGGTCACACCCTCTCATTCCTCCAAGATTTTGGCTCCTGGCCCAACATCACTGTCTTCAACATTATTCTTGGTGATTTCAGTAGATGATCCTTTCAATACATGACCCTCTCATTTCCTTTCTTGTCCTCCATTTACATCAACCACTCCCTTAAACTACCCCTTGTCACTGCAAAAATGTCACCCCTCCATAATCTCAACACTTTGAATATCTTGCTCTATCTTCTTCTAACTTTCCAATTCCCTCCAGAATCCTGATTCCAATCCTTCAATTTCCATTGTTCCTCTTAACTTTCCCACTGTACCTCACTCCCCTTCTGCCTGTCCTTAACCTCCTTCATGCCCATCTTTTCTAATTTACCAGCATAAATCCCATGGTCAATTATAGTAATTCTTTTACAAGCTCCCTTAACTCCCTGGCCTATCTCTTGCTTTTTCATGCCTAGTTGGAAAAACCCCAGTTCTGACTAAATGCAATCCTGCCTTCTCTGTGCCTGCACTTTTGCTGCTGAAGTTAATTGGGAAAAAAGACACTACCATGCTGAATTGCCTAAATTTAAATTGATGACCACTAACTTCAAGTAGACCTTCAATGCTTCTTGCCAGTCGTACTGCATTTCTAGAGTCCATTTACTGCCCACTTTCATAGGCGCCTACATCTTCTCCTCAGTCCTC